GTTTCGTGGCGTGACATAAAACGTAACTATCGTTACAGCAGGTGTGTCGCACCTCGTCCTATTCAGTTTCTTCAGGTTGTAATCAGGCAGTTTGACTGTTACACGTGGAATGAATGAATGAATGAATGAATGAACTTTATTTAGGTGTCTGAATAATTGTGGACACTCCATTTAACTACAGATCACACTAGCATGGCTTCCTCGACATTTTTGACGAAGTTGTAACTTTGTTCGGGCAAATAAAGTTTCGGTACACTCTTTTATGAGCACTATTCTAAACGCCGTGTACAATTCCCCATCTTTGCCTACAAAAGCTTCGTCCTTGTCCATAAAAAGAACAGAAAAAGTTGATTGATCATACAAATGTTTCGGAAGCGTTCGGGAGTGTTTCCAACGGGGTACTGAAAGGAACACTTCGGTAGAAATCCAAAAATTCCGAAGAGATTCTTTCTGATGATTATTCAGTTGCATTCAATTTGTCATTTTCGACGCACTTTTTTGATCACATGTGTAACTGAATTGGGCAAATGAATGAATAATTAAAATGCTACATTGGCTCCGACGCTTGTTGGAAGAAGGCAAAAGAAATTCATCCCTTAACCTCAATGTGATTTCTTTTGCTTTATTCCCTCAAGCCTGGAATGTTAATATATCGTGATTGGCCTATTCCCAAAAAAAATCCAGCGTTTTGGAGTAAAGTGGTAAGCACCAAAGATTGTTTATAAACTCAATAAAGAGTGACTTGGGAACCGAAAAAAAGTAGAATTTTGACTTTTGAATATCTCATTTACATTAGATGTTAGCATTGTTTGACCTCTGGCAGACAAAGTTTCGAATAGGAGCTCCATGACTCAGACGAGATTTCCTTATAGTATATTTGTCGACTGAGACTCGACAAAGAAAGTTCTCAGTCTCAGGGTCGAAGAGCGCTGAAAACTACGCCGATAAATTTTTACTGACTTGGAATGTGCTTCACTTACTGGGCAGGGGCGTTTAAGATTAATTTTCCGTTGAATAATAGGGAGTAAGCAGGTCGCAAACTACGTTGAGATGAAGATCCCAAAGATCCTGCAAATTCGACACAGAAACCCTGCTTGTAAAGGATGAAAAACAAAGTATTGGTGTCGGGAAATTATCCCAGTGTAGGACATCGCTGGGGAAGATTAATAGTACCAGCCGCTGTTCGGAAAAGGAGCCCGCGCTCCTCACTTAGACCGGACTCGGGGGAGCGATGAAAATAGAGCCAAGACAAGTTGGCGACATTAGAAAACTATGTAAATTATTTTCTCTTTGGCATGAAATTCCATTGAGGGGTTTGGCAAACCGTTCTCTCACAGTTAATAACTGATTTGATGAAGAAAGTCACCAGAATCAAAGACGAAGAATTTCATAGATGTGGCCACGTGAATTAAAGTAAATCACTTAGTGACGTCATGGATGAAATGGCGCAGTCCAAGATGGCGACTTTCTCAAATTACGCACAAGAAATGAGCTTGGCTATATTTGAGCAACTTTAAATTTATATAGTATTAAACAGCTATATAAATACAAAAACAGAATTTTAGGGTTAACACACCATTAACATTCCTAATTTTCTTCATTCACATCCTCTGTGAGGGACTTTTGGGGACCTCATAGTACAGCCACCACATACATTCATAACCAATCAGAGCAGTAAACTAAAGCTTCCCGTACCGAGAAGAAATTCAACATTCTTCAGCTTCCTTGTTTGTTACACCATAGTAAGGCAAGTCTCGGCAGGAGAGAGATTTTCATTATGAGATAAGTAAAATTTTAATCCTATTTGATTGGTTTCCTTCAGTTTTTATTTTCAGAACAGGTAGCCCATAGTATAACATTGTAGGACACAAACCATCGTGGCCTGCGTTATTACCAATCGGTTTCGTGTTGATTTATTTGTCATGGTTTCTTCATTTCATACAGTATCTATTAATTCAAGATGTACAACTAATTTTTTTAACTAGACTTTCGCCTAGAACCTCACCTCCTCCTAATTGTCTAATTAATACCCTAAACAATTTTTCTATTAACAAAACTTAAACTGAATAAAAACATTGCGTTACGGATACCTCGAGGAGGTCCACAGTTCTGACAGTGGCCAATAAAACGCAGCCGTTCGGTTCCAAACCTTTTCATTTATAATCTAACCCGTGCATTCGTGTTCGGTTTCAAACCTTTTCATTTAAAGTCTAATCCGTGTATACGCACGACCATATTCTCCTTACTCTTCCCATACATTTCTTAAAATCTTCCGGGGAGAAATTACTTCTTGGTCAAGATATCTTCCCTGTGATGCCTAAGAGGATTAATTAATACAATTAACATACACCTATCAGGCATTTAAAGTCAATTTAAAAAAATTATTTCACCTTCCTCCTGATAGGAGAATAAATTCAATTTCGACACACTGCATGCTGTTTGTTATAAATATCTCTGGTATTTTCAGAAAAGTGACAATTTTCTGTCGGCAGCGTCAATAATAATTACAACTTATTACTAATTATATTTTAAAAATATTATTAATCTGTGTTCATCTCTTTCTTTGTCTTCCCTTGACTCGTTGTGCGCCTTTCTTGCTTCCAGTCTTTTTCGGTTTTCTTTCCACTTGTTTATTGGCTTGCGCGGGAGAGGAATCCCACTGACCAGACAGAAATATCGCGGGCTCAGACATGGAGTTCTGCGTATTTAACCTTACTAGGCTGTCCACTTCGTCGAGTTTAATAGGCGGACAGGAGCGCCTTTCCCCACGGGGTGTGGATGGGGCCGAAAGGGACACGGGATTTCTCCTAGCAGTTATATGCGGCAGATTTTCCATGGAATGCGGGCGGGATAGGCGTTCCACAGGAGTAGAATCGCCAGTGGAGTCATTTTCTTGGACAGCTTGAGCTACAGCGTTGGTCAGTTCCATTTCTATAGCTTCCGTTGCCTCCTCTACCGACGTAGACCGATTGGTTGTTTTGACAGCCGGAGGTGACTGTTCCAAGACGCTAGCCAGCGCCTCAGCTTGAGAAGTCGTGCGTCGACCCTGTCCGTGCATCGGAGACAAACACTGTTCGGGTGTGGCCATGGCTCCGGCGAGCGAGGCCTGGACAGAGTCCTGTGACGTATCATGAGATGATTGCGCGTGCGCTTGGAGAGACGCGTGCCGATCAAATTCTTCGTCTGTGGGCTCAGTTAGAGAGTCTGTTGGTGACTCTAGCTGCCCAGGGCCCAGGTTGACATAAGCTGGTGGGGTTATAGAGTAATAGTGGGATGGAGGGGAGGCCATTGCTGGTAGCTCCAGCAACTGTGCTATGCAGTGCAGCTTATGTTGTCTGAGCATTGTACGCCGCCTCTGGAGGCGCTGTTTGGCCGACATGCAGCGAATGTAGTCATCAAATATGAATTTAGCGGACAGGATAGGACGGGAGCGGACCTTGGTAAGACTTCGAGCTGAGCTGGGTTGATGAATGGTGATGAATAAGGAGCGACTGTCTTCCTTATCAGGGGCAGTCTCCACATCCTAACACCCAAAAGAAATAACGAGTGTTATCACATCGCACTTGATTCATGAGGAAGACTTAGGGGTCTGTTAGCATTTGTAAGTAACACTTGATGTACCATGTAGGGACGTCGAGTTTCAAAAGAGACTACTGTTGTGTCGATGTCCAAGTTCATGCAGCACTTGGTTTGTTTTCAGAAAGTACCAGAAAGGTTCCTATTTCTATTTGTTCAGAAATCTCTGCAAAAGCTGTCGACGGGTGACTGGAAGACACTCTTAATTTATCGTTACGCTCTGGGAAAAGTTAGTTTATAAAGAAACTGTTGTGATACATTGACGCTCAAGTGAAACCAGCAACAACAGTTTTGTTGTCGTCAGGAAAGCAATGGACGTAGATCGAGTTTCAAAAGAAACTACTGACATACCGTACACTGAAAAATGTACAATGAAACCTGTACTTTTGGTTTGTCGGCCTTCAAGTATGTATCCGTAGACAACTTTCAAAGAAACGCTTGTAGATTCTCGTTCGTCGAAGTTCAAGATAAATCGGTAATTGTCGACCATAGTTTGGTTATTAGCATTTCTGAAGAAACTTATGTATTGTGCGTCAACAGTGAACAGTACGGATGTCGCAAATAGCACAAAGGCTGAACATTTGCTGTTCGTGAACTGTAACAATGCAATGTAGTAGTAATGCAGTTGTAACTCTCACGATAAACTAATGCAGAATGAACAGCAAGAATTGTATGACTTGACAGGCTTGTTACCTGAAGCCTAGCGACAAACTTGACCACGCCCCAACCTAACTTGGTTGTGTCTGGTTCAACCAGTATAAACTGAGCCTCGTCTATGACCAGGAAACGGCGCTGCTGCCTGTCAAATAACCGCATGACAATAATCAAGTCAAATTCACGTTCTGAACATTACATAAACCTCTGAGACCAAAGTAAAGCCATTACAAGTAAAAACAGAGCTGCAAAGGGAATGGCACTTAAAACGGAACATTATGAACAAACGTCCTAGAACCGGCCATTTCTAAAAGACACCTGACCAAATTTTGACTCACATAACACGATTCCCGATGTAGAGAATTTCCAAGTATAACTGTATAGAATTAACTGTTATATTTAATTTTTTTATTTTATTTTTTGATTTGCCACACAAACTACTACAGAGTGAGAGAAGGATACATTCGCAGACTAACCCTGTAAACAGATACTCAAATCTACAGTTCTTAAACCAATGTATCCGAATGAAACAAGACACTTACTTGTCTTCTGTCTTTACAGTGCAAGCTATCAAGTCACTGTTGTCTGAAAGCAGACAAACATATGATGTTCACTTAAACTATCAAATGAATTTCTTCCCAGCCTTAACAAGACCATTCACGACTAAGCAAAGACCATCAAATGAGAACTAGTTTCAGTTTCTGCTGCACTTACTCAGATCCAGGACATCTTCCAAATGAACAGAGTTTTCAACTTTGGATAGAGGCAGCTGCTGTTCTGTCTGTCCCAGCAATGCCAGGCAAAGGTCCCTCATCAACAGGAACACACGGATCGCCTAGAAAGCAGGTCAATGCCGACAGTTATGCTTGTAGCAAAACCATATTAAGCGAGATAAAACAGAGACTGTTCCGAAGTAACGTGTTCTGCTTCACACAAAACAGAACAAGAGCCAAGGCCAATTTTAGCACAACTCGAGAAGTAATCTCCTGGTAACAAATGTCTACTAGGATTAGGAATGGACATCAGTTCTCCCAACATTTGCTTACTATCCAATCACAGGACTGGACTAGCTAGATATGATAAGGATACGTCATGTCACGTCGCTAAGCAACCTCTCGCGAAACCGCAGGCTCAGACGGGACTCTTATGAAGAAAACAAGGAATGACAAACACACGCGCGACTTACCCTTCGGGTGTGCTCCACTTCTCCACACGGCAGGCGCTTGTAAAACTCAATTCCGGTCAGTGGAGTTCCCGTGAGCGGCAGGAGCAGCGCAGCGTCCATCATCAAATGTTGCAGGTTGGGCGGCTTCACCTGACATTAAACAACTATATTTATTAATAAATGATACTACATTATGTTTCTCACTTCTGCATGGCAGTTAGGTGGCGAGAATACGAAAATCACCACTGGCTAGATGAACCACCAATTACTTAAGCCCTGGCCAAATGGGCTCGTACGTAGTCGTAAGCAGCAGCAAGTTGAACTTGCGTAGAGACTTGCGCTGGGTGGCCAAACGGACTCGCAAGTTTCCTCGAAAGTACGCGCAAGTCGCAAAAAAAAAAAAAAAAAATTTCAAGGCAGACATAATCTGTATTTCATTACCTAATACTAGGTTGATGGACGTCATTCAACTTGCATTGACACCAAACGGTGAAAAACTTGCGTCGACTTGCGTGCAAATTTGATCTTGACCAAAGTGAACGCAAGTCATCGCAAGTGCACGCAAGTGCACGCAAGTGCACGCAAGGCCTGACCAAGTAGACCTACTTGGATCTACTTGCGAGTCCGTGTGGCCAGGGATTTAGAAATGGAAAACTCAACTCTCAAAATCGTCTCAGGATCGTCATATTGCTGTGCCTGCACATTCAATATTCGCACAAAACAAGTGATCCATCTACTTCAAACTCTCACCTTTGTTTGTCGGTATTCATCTTCAAACATGTCCAAGAAAATCTCATCTTCCTGTTAAGTAAGACAAACTTATGTTACGTGTGAAGAGGTTACGCCTGGTTAATCAGTGACTTAAGGTGAAGTCTGTTCCATTCCTCGACACCCCGAATTTATTAGGAGTAATGCTACTCCCCCCGGGATATAATGCTAGTAATTCAAAGGATACCAACCTCTGCCAACACTTTGTGAGGTTACCCTAACAATTCAGATGAGTGGGGAGCCGTCAAGTGTATTTAAAGGATCAATTGCTTATGTTAAGTATTGTGCACACAGAGCAACGAAGGTCTAGTCTTGAACTCTGACCACAAACTGGTTGGAAGTGCAGAAACAACTGAATGTTTGGCGTGTATAGTTGTCCACATTAAAATGTTTTCAGAATTTGCATCAATTTTACAAATGGAAGAAAAAATTGAAAAAAAACCTCACAGTATTATGTTTACCTTATAATAATGTCTTAACTGCAGCGTGCTGGCCTCGCGTACGTTCTGAAAAAGAGACGGAAGAGAGGTTACCTTTCCACCTTTCCCCTAATGTTTGTGAGCTTCAGCGGTTTCTAATCATTATTGTAAAACTAAAATCAACGTAATGACATTAACAAATTGAACCAATTTCTCGCGAACAACGCCATGAATCAACTTGAACTCAAAGCAGCAACAAGCCCCTAGCCAAAAGCGCGGGAAAAAAGCGAGGAAGCCAAGTCATAATCCCCTTTGCTCATAATTGGTCTGTTTGTGACAATACCCTGTACGGGGTTTCCCCGTAACGTGTTAAATGATAAACAACAACCGTGGCAGATTCGAGCAGATCGCCTTACGAGCGAAATTAATTGCTGGCTTGTAAACAACTACCGATACATCAAGAGGAGCTACTACAAAGTGAACTGAAGACCTTGACCTTGACCTTTTTTCAGCGTTTCGTACCTCGATGAGGGCTAGATGTCTGTCATTAAGGTAGCTATGTCTTGTGTTATCCTCAGTGTACATGATCAGTTCCTTGAGCAGTATTATAAGCATCTCCAATGTTACCACGCGTACTTGACTCCCTAGGAAATAAATACACTTGTCAGCGGAGGATGATGGAGAAATGAGGTCCCACTAGAACGGGTGTGGCATAACCTTTACTATTTTGTCCTTCGGCTTAAAAAAGATTCCCATAACTACTCTGTTTACTTTTTACAACAACTGAAAAAGTGAAAACATGAAAAGTGCGCTTACCATTTCGGTAACCAAGTTCCAGAACTCTGATAAGATTTTCTACTAAATTCTCGTTGTACGGCACTTTTGTCTGAGACAGAAAAGAATAATAAAACATTTTACGACTAAGTCAAGACAAGTATATCTAGAAAAAGCTTGACAACGATACTCCTCGCTAATACAAACCTTAGCCGAGGAAATTCCTATTGATTCAAGCAAGTTTTTATCCACACCTAAAAAAAAACATAACAAAAATTCATTACTTATTGCATTCATTTATTTAGCTGCTTATTCTGGAAATTTATCGGAACAACTCGAAGATACCAGTTAGCTGGTGATTTTCTTCTTGGGAATGTAACCGGATTGTAAATGTGTTACGCTTTGCATAGCTGACCCCTTAAAATCGCACACGTGTCTTTGTAATGTCGGCGATATGTTTCGTGTTCAAAACACACTCCGCGTTAGTCCAGAAAACTGTTTTTTGACTGTTACCTGTTTAATGTTCAAAGCA